TATAGAAGTTGAGGTCACGACCTCTTAGTGTGACTTCAGCTCCATGAAAAGACAAAGAGACCTTGAAAACAAAGAGGGTGTGAAGAGAGCGAGAGATAAAGAGAGACAGATATTTGGAGTGCCGGACGTGTACAAGATAACTGTGTGTATTTATTGTGTACATACTTGTGTGTGTGTGTGTGTGTGTGTGTGTGTGTGTGTGTGTGTTACCATGGCGAACACGGGTCCGGAGGACATGTACTTGCAGAGTCCACCATAGAAGGGCATGTCCTTCAAGTCCAGGTAGTGCTGCTTCATGTGGTCCTCAGAGGACTGAAAACACACAAAGTACAATTTAGTAGTACAAATACAAATATCTGCAAAGTATAAAAGTAGATTTACAGTTTAAGGTACATGAACTTTATGTGAGTATTTCCATCTTCTGCTACTTTACACTTAATATTGTACTTTTTACTGCACTATATTTATCTTTCATCATTACTTTTCAGATTAAGGTTTCAAAGAATTAATATAAAATAATAAAAAAACACAATAAGGCTCATGAAATAGAAGACATTGTAAAGATTAAAGCAGTGTTTGTCCTCAGTAACTTTACTTTTAGTATTTATGAGCAGTATATTTACTATGTACTTATATGTACTTTATAAATACTTAAATGCAGGTATGAGCAAATATAAGCACCATTTTAAGTGTGTTAATGTATTATCACTTGAGAGAAAAAAGATCCATTTACTAAATTAAACTTCATACCTAAACTCATATTCTCACATTCAACAGACTAAGAATTACTGGGTTGTAAACTGACCCAGTTTTATTTGTTTATCACTTTTTGGTTACAGAATCAAAACAAACATTTTGTCTTTTTCTGCCCACAAAATATTTATTTCTGACCAAAAGGCACAATTTCCTCCAGAAAACTACAGAAATGTTGTGAGATCATCTCCAACATTGAATCAAAAATAAACCATTTTAGTTCAACAAGCTGCCTGTAATTATGTAAATATAATGTTATTGTATCTGTAACTTGTTCACATGATTAAACACAGATTGTACTTTATAATTATTTAGTAAACTTTACATTTATCTAAACTCTGATCCTCCTGAACCTCAATTTGAGTTCATCCTCAGGTATGTAGACAATAATCCACATGGGATTAACACACACACACACACACACACACACACACACACACGCAACAGCTATGAATAACTACACTGAGTGTGTGACAGCGATACGAGTGTGTCCTTCAGAATTGCTGCAACATTCATCAACTCAACAGCTGTCATCTAAACTCTGTGTGTGTTTTCCTGTACTTCTATCTTTGTGGGGACCTATTCTCAGCCCTGGAAAGTGAGGACACTGTCTGATTCTCATGTCTTCGTGAGGCTGTTTGAGAATTTAAGTTGTCAAAATGAACTTTATCAGTAAGAAAATACACCATAAAGTAGAGCAGTGATCTCTGGAACAGCTTCACCTTCTTTTCTAAATGCACGGAAAAACTTCAGCAACACTTATCATAGAATAATCCATATTAGAGTAAATAAAAAGTTGTTCTTTCTACTTGTATATAAATACAAAAGTAATTATTTATTGTACAAAATACCCTAAAATAGAGAATAAATATATACCTGGCCAGGTGCGAACGCTAAACTAATCCCTTTCCTATTTTTCCTATATTATAACCTTTGTATAATTTTTTACGAGTCTAATGTACGTGATATGAATACAAGTTCATGTTAAATGTCATTACGTTTAACCTTGTATCACATAATAATGATAATATAATAATCTATGCCTACAAGTGAACAAAGACATTTAGCTCATATATATAATACTAAAATAACATCTGTCCTCAGACACAAACCCCTAAAAAGTTATGTGAATTTTAGAGTTTTTGAAAAATGCAATAAAATCATTCTAAAACTAAAAAACACATGTTGAAAAAAAGTTGAACCATTATATAATAATAATAAATAGTAGGGAATGGTGCCAACTCATTTACATTAAAACCAGTTGAAACATTTTGAACCTTTTTCTATTTAATAACTAACATGTTTATTAGAGTGTTGATACCTCAACATGTATTACATGTTTTCCTTTCACAAACAAGTATTTATACATTCTACATTTAGCATCGGAGACATTTTAGTTACTTTTTTTAGTTTCACGGTCTTTGTGTGAATGTCTTTTTTGTGTCACTCTGGTTTCCTTTCATACATCACTGAAAAAGATTGTTTTGATTTTAATTTCGGTTACCTGCATGAATTTGGCGGCCACCAGCTTGAAGCCTCTGTGCTCGAATCGCTTCATGATCTCACCGCAGAGTCCTCTCTGGACGCCATCAGGCTTCACGGCGATGAATGTGCGCTCCATGTCAACGTAGAAGAGGCTGCAGCAACACGACACCAACGAAGAAGAGAGACAAAACATTTAAAACAATGAAAACGCTGAGCTCACATAAAGAATCGTCTTTTATGAAGGTAGAATGAGCAAACTGAGAGGGAACTCTTTTTATTTAAGAAAATAAAAGCAAGATATAATTGAAGTTCAGCGGCTCCTGTTATCACTTTTTAACATTTAACCCCGTTAACTACTCAAATCAACCTTTTTAAACAAACACATGTTCTGTCTTCTGTTCATGTTGGACAAATTAAAATTATGCTTTTTATCTTTGTATTACTTTTGGCTATTTCCATTTAATTGTATGGTTGTAATTCTCTGATTTTGATTTAATTTTCATCTTTAAATGTGTTTTTGTTCCTTGTTCAATCAATTAGAATACTTTTTAACCTTGTTTTGAAAATTGCTATATCAATAAACTTTATTATTATTATTAGCATTGTTATTATTATGCACAGTATAAACACGTCTCTGCAGACTTCATGTAATTAGAAAATAATCTCTTTTTCAGCCAAAAAAGTTTCGAAACAAATGAACTAAACTAGATATTAAAAGTCTCTTAAAGTTCCTGTTTGTGTCTCAACTTCATCTAAAGAATCATTAATATTCTGTTAATTTAACCCATCATGTTCATGTACTTTTAATTCTCAGAAATTTGTATCTCAGTTACAGACGGAGGTCGTAGTTTAAACAGAACAACATTAACACTGATACAGAAGTTGTTTATTTTAATATTTATTTTCTCCCTTTAAACAGAATGAGTTTGAAACAGTTTGGATGTTCTTATTCTAGTTGTACTTACATCTTATTATAATCTCTACTTATCTGTACTACATGAGTTACCTGCTCCAGGATCAGGTCTAAGTGAATCCAGATTGTCCCTCTACTGATCTTACGACACACGCGTTTAAATATCTCCTCTCTGTTTGATGTCATGTCCATCATGTGTTTCCTGTATGAAGGTCATATTCAATTTCTCCTCGTTAGAGAAACGTGTGCCGAATGTGAAATTAAAAACGTCCTCTTGAGTTTTATTTTGGAAGACGTTTTCTTCTCCCTCGGCTCGGAGACGCTGAAAGACGACACCGTCTCAGACAAAGCGTTTCTAATTTTACTGCCGGCTGGTTTCTGCTCTCTAGCAATTCTCTGATTTATCAAACCGAGTCTTTGGTCGTGTCCTCTTTAGCCCTGAGAGCAGCGGGATGTTGGACAGGTGGACACTTTAATCGGGAGTCTGTATCTGACTGGACCGTGAACCTCCCTGTGTTTCCTCTAGCGCCACCATGAGGCCGACATTTCCTCAACAAAAACACATCAATTCTAACCTCACGTTTTCTGAGCCCGTTCATGCTCCTCAGAGGACGAACTCTTTGTATGTTTGGACACTCAAAGACAATTAAGAAAAAAATGCTCAATAAAATCAGATTTTTTGTTGTTTTTCTTTTCTTTTCAGGGGTCGGCTAATTTTTTTATGTATGAAGTGCCATTTTTATTATTCTTGTTAATCAGAGTGCCATATCTTTAAAACTTTAAGTTTCATTATTATTATTACCAAATCAAAATTTAAATCTATTATTTCCAACCAAAGATTTAGCAACATTTTTTTTATATTTTTCTCCCGTAATCCTCAAATTAAATGATTAACAAACTTTCACTGATTGTGTTCATCAGCAATAAACTTAACAAATTCTGTGACGAAGGTAATGAGGACCAGCCAATCAGAGGTCAAACTACTGTAAATAACTTATTGCTATTGTTGAGTTGGTTGAACTACGGTGGCCCATGAGTCACAGGTTTCCTATACGTTACATAAAGTGAGCTCACATTAAACTTGTTAATTGTGTGTATTTCTTCAGTTTGAAGCTAATGAGGCTAATGCTAACACATCTGCAATAACCTGAATCTTTAAATCAGGAAGTTTAAAGTATTATTATTATTATTTAGCTAATTTTCCAACAATATTTAAAACTTCAGTAACTCCTACTTGTTTGTGTTTGTTGTGTTGTTAAGAGACACGTGTTATTTTTCACTGTTAATTTTAAATGACTTTGTTTCAGTGGACCAATCAGGAGGAGGGGGGGGGGGGGGTCATCAGCTGTTTGGAGACACATGGTGCTCTGACATAACAGAGCCAACTGCTTCTGAATCACTTAAGAAACGTCATTATTCTATAATCTATCGCTGTTTTTGTGAAGAAATAGTCAGAAAATCTAAACTGTCTTCAGAGAAACGAGGAAATATAAGTATATGTATACTTGAAAGTTGTATATATTATTATTATTCTTTGTAACCATGTGGAAACACGTTACCCTAACCCCCCATTGTGTAGGAAAGATTATTCAAACATGTTATGAATTTAATAAATTGAAGATCTGTTTTCAGATTTAACTTCAGAGCATACATTTGTAGGAAAATGTTGAACATTTAGAGAAATAATTCTGTCTGCAGACGTTTAATAACATGTAACTGAGCTTCATGCACCAACACAACAAAGCTTTAAATTCATCTTGAGAGGTTTTATATTCAGTAATTCAACTTCAAATATTAAAATAATCGTTCAAAAATACTGTGTGTGTGTGTGTTGATATCTACCTTCGTTTCGGGTTGAGGAGAACTTGTGAAGACGAGCAGCGGGGATGCGATAACCGAGGACGAAGAGGTGCACAGGAGCTCTTTTTAAAGGCAGCGCTGGGGGGAGGGGTCCAAAAATGTGGGTGTGTTAGTGTGTCGGGGGTGTGTGTGTTTGTTTGTGAGGGGCTGAATCTGTGTCTCTGGTTAACAGATCGTTTCAACACTCCACCATGTGTTTGTGTTTGTTCATGTATCTTTGTGAAGACGTTTCATAGAAGCCAAGAGGCAAATGAGGACATTTGTGGAAAGTATGGACATTTATGGAAAGTGAGGACATTTGTGGAATGTGAGGACATTTGTGGAAAGTGAGGACATTTATGGAAAGTGAGGACATTTGTAGAAA